CACAGCAGGCTTAAGTGATTCTCTTGCCTCAGCCTCCCAAATAGCTGGGACTACAGGTGCCTACCACAATGCCCGGCTATGAGAGACCCCATTTCTAAAACCAAACAAAAAAGGTAACAAGAAACCAGAGGGGCACCCAGCACATGTTAGTTGTGAGTATTACGTTTATATACCTATACAAGCGTAACAGATACAGATATAAGCCCATATGCATATGCGTAACAGCTATCTACTGCAGAGCTCCATGGGAACAAAGTCAGAGGGAAACTAAACTTGAGTCTGCCTGGGCTTCCTACAGGAGACGGCTCCAGGGCCCAGTCTTTACCAATGAGTGAGAGAGGGGTGGAGAAGCAGAGGAAGATTGACTGAGCTGAAGCTAAGGTGCTCTCTAAAGCATGAGAAGAGAGGATTTTAGTCACTCCATGAGGCCCTTGGAGGGCCTAGGACAAGATGTGGTGGAGATGCAGGCAGGAGCTGAATGACATAGGGCCCTGCTAATGAATTTGGACCTTGCCCCCAGGACAGTGCGTGGCTAAGGAATGAGTCTAAGCTGGAGCCTGTGTGAACAGTCTGGCATTTTCTGAATCAACCACATTTTTCACAGTATGAGCCAGTGACAATTAACTTTGCAGTCATGATCCTGAAGCCCTGTAGAGTGCTAGAGCAAAGCCTAAGAATGGTTCTGTTCAGTGCTAGAGACTTCCAAGGCCAAGTATATTTTATTTTATTCTACTTCTTTGGGAAGTGATAACTCCTTTGTGGGAAAGACCCATGTCTTTGTCTTTTATCTCTGAAAATGCCCTAGAATAATAATACGCAGACACGTCAGACTTGCTCATCGCAGGTGACAAGAGCCAGCTTTTTAAAGGTGTTAACTGGACCATTTTAGTGGAAAGCAGAGACGAGGGTGGGGCCATGGACCATATCCCAGCAAGACCTTGAAGGACAAATGCCAAGCAGGGTATTTGTTAGAAGTTAGACTTCAGGGTAACTGAGGGCTGTTCACTTATATCAGGAAGCCAACAACGACGATGTTCCAGTCACACCACAAAATGGCAGAAGCTTATTTCTGACTTCTGGTAACCCAATGTGAAATTAGTAACAGAACTATCCTTTAGTTTGGTGGGGGAAAGGATGAACCGAAAATAAAGCTCCTGGGGGAGCAGGGGGTGGGAGGGATGGGGGTCTGGGGGCTTACTGGGGAACCCCACCCCTCTAAACAGTCCCACCCCAGACAGGTTTGATGCTAGGTTCGTTTATCCTTTTGTCTGTTCAACAAATATCTACTGAGTCCTTTCTATATCCGAGACGCCGACTGCACAAGGCTGGGGTAAAGGAGACCCCATCCTGCCTCGAGGGCCACAGGGAAGCAGGAGAAATAAAGCAGCTTTAAACAAATTCACTGGCAAGGATATAACAACAACTTGCTGTAAGTGCCCGAAAATAAAAACAGCCTCTGTGCTCTGAAAAAAAAAAGAGGCCGCGTCAGCCTGGCCGGAAGCCTGCCTGGGTCTTCCCGAGGAACCATCTAGAAGCGTGAGTAAGAAAAAGCCGGCAGGAGAGGGTTCCAGGCGGGGAAGGCTCCACCTCGGGCCTGGGGTGGGAAGAGCTGTGGGCGGTGAGAGCTGAAAGGGGGACGGGTTAGCACGGCAGGAAAGGTAAGGAATGACAAGGGCCTTCGACTGCGGCCACCACCTCCTGCAAATCAGCACGCTCCTGCGTGAGCCCCGGGAGCCCAGGGTCAGGGTGAACGACGCAGGGGACAAAGGCCCACGGCCACAGGTCAGGGGAGGCGCGGGCGGGAGAAGGAGCAGGTTCAGAGCCAGGCTGCCCGGGTGTGACTCCAGACTCCGAGGTGGCGCCGCACAAGTCTGCGGGCTAATCAGTAACTGGAGGACAGAGGCACTCACCCCTAAGGGCTGGGAAAGGGCCCTAGATGGCATAGCCCCGCTGCCTCGCCCAGGGAAAGGTGTCCAGGAGCGGCTGTCGCTGCTGTTACTGCGGAAGGAAGGGAGTCATTCGATAGATAGGTATGAAGCGGGTAGAATCTATCTCCAGGGCGTCAGT